TTTTTTATTTAATTAAATAAATTTAAAAAAATAATTATAAAATTTATTAAAATTTCATTATAAATTTACATATTAAAATTAAAATTTTATATTTAAAAAAAAAGGGTAAAATAATAAAATAGAAGTAAATTTAATCGCTCAAAATCCTCCTAAATTGGAGAGATTAGACTTTTACGAGAAGTCCATCCTCCCTCCATTTACTTTCTCTTCAACCCCCTCCTTTACTGACTTTATCCAAACAAGAGAGAGGAGAGACCTCTCCTTTAGTCTCCTTCCGCTTTCCTTTAACTCCCACAATCCAATAGAGTATAAACTCATCTTAGCAATGATTAGTCCTAATAGTATATTTGGATTAAGAGGAAATAAGACAAGAGGAGTAAAAAATTCTTTATAGTAATAAAAATGAAGAGGGTGGGAAGGGGAAAAATTCCTTTTAATTTTTTTTTTCTTTTAATTTAGTTACTTATCCAAATGAGGGGAATGAAAGGGAATGAAAGGGAATGAAAGAAAAAAATTACCATCCCCTTCTCTTCCTTCTCTTGTATTCCCTTTAACCTAAACATAGGTTAAGGTACATAAATATTGACCTAGAGATACTTTATAACAAATAAATAAAAAGGCAAAATAAAATGAGAAACTTTAAAAGTATTTTAAGTGTTCATATCTAGAATTTTAATGTAAAAGAAGAATCATTAGATGGTGGATAGTTTTAATATCAAGGAAATTGTTTTCATTTAATAGTTTCAATTGTGCAGTTAATTATAATTTCTTCTGCACAAAACCTTTTTTTGTTTTTTGTTGTAATATATAAATTTGATCTTTTACAGTTTAAATTATATTAAACTATAAAATATGAAAAGCTCTCCTTGGTAGATTAGACTTCAAAACACTTCTTTTATAAATATAAATAAGAAAAGTATTCATCAGAAATACCTAAAAAAATAAGTGGAAAAACACTATAAGAAAAATAAAAATCATTTTAATAACTTGCCATAAAAAAAAAAAGATAAATAATTTTTATTCCTATCATAAAAATACATTATTTTATTATGTCTATCCAACTTTAGTTGTCACACTTTTTCTTATTATCATTACCAAAAAAAAAATGATCAAATTTCATAAAAATGCAATTATTATTTATTAAAATTTTGTATTATGATGCCTAGATCATGTGCTTCCTCTACGGTGGTGGTGTGTGTATTACTCAATGGCTTGGGGAGAGATCTCAAGATCTTCCTCACTTTATCCTCTTCCGAATATACAATATCATTATGTATAAGCTCATTAGTCAATTTTGTAAAATGTGCAAATAAAATTTAATATCTTCATCACCCATTTTAAAGAGTTCATTTTTTTGCAAAAGCATATTCATTTCTCTTCCTAACATCGTTAGTGCCTTCATGAGCCACTTTAATATTTCCCAAATTTCTTGAGCAGTCGTACATGCACTTATATTATCAAGTTCAAACGAATCTAGAGAACAATACAATGTAGTTATAGCTTTTACATTTAGTTGCATCCTTAACTTATTAGTTTTATCAAAGTCTTCGAGTTTCTTTGGGCCCATCTCTTTTGACCCTTCATTTTTTTTCTTTATTGGAACAAAAAGGTCATCCCAGATTACCTCCCATATTTGGTAATCTGAACCTTGCATGTAAATCATTATTCTATTATTGAAAGAGGCATAATTTGTGCTATTAAAGATAGGAAGTGGTGGATTGTCCTTCCAAAAAACAAGAAGCCTTGTGTTACCATAATTGAAACTCAAAAAATAAATAAGAATTTAAAATCAAAACTTTGAGCCAAGGATCTAATTGTTAGGTTGACAAGGGTGTAGCAGAAGCAAAAATTAAAAATTTTCCTCTTTCAAGTTATCTAGGATTCTTATGAATCCATTTACACTTAAAGAAGGTTCATGATCAGTACCCCAAAGAAATATGCATTGTTGGGGAATAGATCATGACCACTATCCTCCAATGAAGTCTCAAGAGTCTAAGTGTAGAACTCCTATATTGGTGATCTACACACGTGCTTAGGGATTCAAAGAAAACTATATCTCTCAAAAGTGCTAACAATAGAAAACCTAGTTTTTTTTTTTTTTTTTTTGATAAGCCACAATCGAAAACCTAGTTGGTCCTCCTTTTTTATAGGAAATAATTTTAGTAATCTAAAATTTTACAATACAAATCTCACTTAGGGATATTATGTTTTCTACAACTATTTATATTTTTAGAGAATAAGAAGACTTGCTATTCTAATCCTATTAGAATTGCCAAACTTAGTATTCTAATCAAAGTAGAACAAGAAAGAAGAAAATTTTTCTTCCCTTCTCTTCTTTTACCATACCCCACAATCCATGTTGGACTAGTAGTGTTGGCCAAGGGCTTTCTTGCCCTTACGTCAACTAACCCTAGTCCAACATGGGCTAGGGTTTGACTTATAAGTCTTCTAAGAATTTAATTATCACTTTTAGATTTCCTTCTCCTTAACTTCAAACAAATTCAAATTTAAATTAATTAATTAATTAAATTAATCCACTCTGCCAATTTAATTTTTAAAATTTGATTAATTTATTTCTCTTCTTAAAATAATTTTTTCACATAAATTAATCCATGTCTATAAACTTAAATTTATAGAAATCTCAATCCCTAAAAGGCATTAAGTGTATGACCCTCTAGGTTTCCATCATAATGGGTTGTGAAAAACATTTACAAACTAAAAACAATATCTAACAACACATTATGGCAACCCAAAGTGATAGAAATGTCGACAATGTCAACAAGTCTTCCTATGACCGATGCACTTATATAATTTAATTGTTGTGTCACTAATATCTCAATTAGACAAGATGCATGCTATGTGTCATCATTTTTAAAGCTTGATACATTTTTTTGACTCCCAATATAGACAAATTTCTTGAATGAGCCGTTCATTCTTGCCATAGCCATAGAATTGCAACTAGTCTCATTTCATTCAAAGGGCCAAAAATATCTTCTCTCATAAATTCCAAAAGGACAACTCCTATCTTGACTTGTCCATTACTCATGTGATTTATGATGCACCCAATAACTATATTACTTGCAACTCCTCGTAGGCACTATTTTTAGCTGCATCAAAGTACATGAGTCTTCACATAAAATAATAATTATTTGAAATCAAAGCTATTAAGGACACATGAACGTTGTGTTCTCATGATGTGTTGAGTCACCTACATGTGATACATGACTTTGTGAGAAGAAATCTTGTCACTTAACAAAGTATTACACATGATAGTCTTTACATCATTGATGTCTCATCTTAATGATGTATATGACTAATGGACAATTTAAAAATATTACCTTTGTATCATATGATTCTAACTAATAATGATGGAGCTATATCTTTTAATAAAACAAACATCCTAAGAATTTTATTGATATTAATGTATATGAAAAAATAACAATTAATATATGATAAATGAATATCTTATATATATAATGTGATCCTTATCACAAGTACAAGTAGAGCTAACTTAGGGGCAAACTCTATCACTCATACCAGTCGTTATCCTTATAGGACTAGAAAAATGCACCATGCACTCCCTTAGTGCATGGTGTTGGACAAACCTAGTCCATATAGACTAGGGTTTCGACCATGTAGCCCATGTAGCCCACCTTTAATTTTTTTGGTTCTAACACTTGAACTAGACCAATTTTAAACCAACTTGGATTAAATTTATTTAATCCATCCTACCAATTTAATTTTGGAACTTGATAAAAAAATGTAAGTTTGTCGGCCATTCACCAATGATAGTACAAATTATGTGTCCAGAACATTTATTTTGGTAGTATAAAGATTTGCCAACACAAGACTCCATGGTCCTAGCTTTTTGTACACAAAGAAGAGTGCATCATCAAGGTCCTACCTTCAATGCACCTCCCAAAGCTACTGATCTGGGAAAACAAAGAAGCCGGATGAGAAAAGATAACCTAGGAAGTAGAAGAACAAGTAAAAAAAAGGGGAAATTAAAATAGACTCAATTATAAATTGAAGTAATCATCAATTCGTGAGTCAAATAAATCTTATGAACTACAAAACATGAGAAATCATGTGTAACACATAACACACACGTAAACTCAATAGTCATGGAGTTAACAAAAGCATTCTAGTAATACTAATATCAGACCTAATCATGGCACAATACCTACGTACTACATAAAGACAACTCAAGAATCGAACTTAAAGTCCCAGTTTACACTCGAGCCCTAACAAAACCAATAGATAAACTTCGAAGGTGAGGGTCAAAAACTCCAGTTACTTACTCAACATATCTCAAATGTAACCATGAACTATCCCTTACACAGAGAACACAATCTCTTATAATGGGACTATTCCTCGTACGTAAAAAAGTAATAATGCATGAATCCCACCTATTGTCATCAACGACCATTAATGATCAAATGCATATGAAAAATATCCGTTAGCATGCAAACTTGTTTTAAGGCATAGAACTACATAGAGCAAGGAATATAGCACTTGGAGCATACTTGAATGGCCATTGATGTACCTAAAAGTAATTGAAACTAAATTGCAACACTTAGTGAGCAAACAACACATGGTTTACCAAGAATGGAAAAATTTGCAAATAATGGGGAGTAATGGCTTGTAAAATA